GGGCAAAGGCTAGGAATTCAGGCTCAGAGGTAGAATGGCTGCGTTTTAGGCAGCTAAGGAATAGCTTCACTTCACATGTCAAAAGTGCTAAATCTAAGTATTATCTGTCAGTTACCACAAAGAACCTGAACAACCCTAGAAAATTCTGGAAAGCCATAAAATCGATATCCACCGGTGATATCCGTAATGAGCTACCTCCGTGCCTTACCACAGTATCTGGCACTATATCGGATAGGACCACCATACTAAATTGTTTTAATGAGCATTTTGTGTCCTGTGGCTCTCTGTTTCATTCTGTTTCTAATTCTGCTTCTGTGAACACCACAGTCGGTGACTCAGAACAATGTGGTCTGGAAAACCCTTTCAGTTTTACTCCTTTTACTGTTGATGTTGTTCGTGAAGTCTTAACCAAGCTAGATCCTAAAAAGCCGGCAGGTCCGGACAACGTAGAACCTTTCTTTTTAAAGATAGCTGCAGATGTTATTGCTCTTCCTCTTACTACTCTTTTTAACCTCTCTCTCTGCACGAACAAAATCCCAAAAGTCTGGAAGTCAGCTTATGTCCTGCCACTACTAAAAGGAGGGGAGGCCACCTTATTAAACAATTATAGACCCATCTCTAAGTTGTCAGTTCTGGCCAAGGTTCTTGAACGCCGAGTGAGTGAACAGGTAAAGGTGTTTTTATGTAACAATGACATCCTGTCTAAACATCAGTCAGGCTTCAGAAAGCAACATAGCACCATCACTACCACAATGAAAGTGGTAAATGATATTACGAGTATTTTAGATAATAAGCAGAGTTGTGCAGCTCTATTTGTTGACCTATCCAAAGCTTTTGATACTGTCGATCATCACATTTTGAAGCAAAGGCTACTCAGTATCGGCATATCCAGCCATGCAGTGGGTTGGTTTGTGAACTACCTCTCCGAAAGGTCCCAATGTGTTCATTTTGATGGGCTGTCTTCTGAGTGGTTAAACATCACTAATGGTGTACCACAAGGTTCAGTTTTAGGTCCGCTATTATTCTCTATCTATATTAATAGTTTAGGTGAAAATGTCGAAGGAGCAACCTTACATTTGTATGCGGACGATACCGTTATGTACTGTGCAGGTCCCTCGATTAACGAGGCTGTTGTTAAATTACAGGCTGTTTTTAACATTATTCAGGCTCAGCTCTCTGAGCTTAAGCTTCTTTTAAATGTGGATAAAACCAAGGTAATGCTCTTTTCTAAAGCTAAAGCTAAAAATACACCAGAGACTGCTTTGGATATTGTAACTACGCAAGGAATACAACTTGAAGTGGTTACCTGTTACAAATACTTGGGTATCTGGCTTGATGACTGTCTCACTTTTAAACTTCATGTCAATAACCTGCTTAAAAAGCTGAGGGTTAGGCTAGGTTTCTTTTACAGAAATAAGTCCTGTTTCTCGCTTGAGGCCAGGAAAAGGCTAGTCACTGTGACCTTTTTACCTGTGCTGGATTATGGTGATTTGTTATATATGAATGCACCTGCCAATTACCTGAGCAAGTTAGATGCTGCGTATCACAGTGCAGAGATTTTTGACAAATTGTAAAGCACTTACGCATCACTGTACCCTGTATACCAAGGCGGTTTTGCCATCACTTACTGTACGGAGGCTCAGTCACTGGTACTTTTTCATTTAGAAAGCCATGTTGGATAAACTACCACCTTATATCTGCTCCCTGATCTCTCTGCGAATTGAAAGTACTTATTGCCTGAGATCGCATGCTGTGGTTTTATTAAATGTGCCAAGTGCTAGGACTGTCTTAGGGAAGAAAGCTTTTAGATGTGCAGCTCCACTAACATGGAACAGTCTGCAAAAAGAATGGAAAATTACCAAGCTAGTACCACTACATGTTTTTAAAGCTCGGTTGGATGCTACAAAATCAGATGCTGTTGGTACCTGTACTTGTGGTTAAATATGTACATTGTAATCCCTGTACATTTTGCTGTATGATGTCCTTTTGTTGTTCTGTTGTTTATGTTGTTATGTCTTCTTGTGGAACCTACTGCTGCAGGTCTCCCTTGAAAAAGAGATCATTGATCTCAATGGGATTTTACCTGGATAAATAAAGGTTTTGAATTGAATTGAATTGAATTGAGGGGAGGCTACATGATGAAAACTCCAAGAAATAAACGCCCGTTTTATAGAACCGACCTGTGTCTGTGTCGTGAAGAGAGCTACACTCTTATAAAAGACATAGCAACCCGATCATGGTTATTCCGAAACGTTTTGATGTGTTTTTTGTGTGTTTCGTTTCAACGCTGCCGGACGAGTAGCATGACAACATTTGTGGCGTAAGAAGGAGAATAAGTTGAGATAAGTTCATTGAATACTATACTGTGTGTGGCTTTGCCAGTCACAAAGAATAAGAAAGTATGTTATTGTTTGTTACACACCTGTTCTGTGCAGCTTTATCTGAGGCTTGCCAACAGACTCTTTTGCACAAGTCTGACCGCTGTGCACACTTTCCTCATCAGTAAGAGTCACCATGAAGACATCAGTCTCCTGTTTTAGTTCAAGCTGCTCTTCCTCTTGACTGGTGCAAAGTTCTTCCTGTTCCTCTTTAATCTGTGGAGGCTCTGGGTCCTCTTGGTCCAGACTGGAGTTCCTTTCCTGACTACAGAGCTGCTGGTCAGTGAGAACCTCCTCCTCATTACAGACATGTTGCTGAGGGAGCTCTGGAGGACAGAAAACAAACAAAGTGCTGTTAGTGTGGTGTTAGGGAAGCAAATTGCATTCAATGCTGGGCAATGGTGTTAAGATCAATATCACAATATCAAGACAACAACAAACAAGACTACAGAAATGCATTATGCATAACATTTATAAATAGATTTGATAAAAATAAAAAACATTACGCCACCAACTTTTTAAAACTATAACATATTCTAACAATGTGTGCTTTTTGTATTTGTGATCTGTTGTTGGAGATCTAAAAAGAAATAGAAATAAAAAAGTATTTCATGGTTTGTTACACACCTGTTCTGTGCAGCTTTATCTGAGGCTTCAAGACGGTATCCAATAATCTGCGCTGACGACAAATCTCCTCCTCGTATGCTGATAAAGCTCGAGCAAAAACTCCATATATTTCATCGGCAGCTGCAGCTAGTCGCTCGTTGATAACACTTCTCAGTTTCTCAACTACAGCCATTTCTACTGTGTGAAATATATGGATGTGTAAAGAGACAAAATAAGCCAAACCAACTTTTATTTTTCTCGTAGGCATCAACAAAACAACTTCCGGTGGAATGTTCTTCTTCGTTGGTTTAGGGAGTCGTTCTGCACTGATAAAGTTACATTACCGCCACCTACTGGATTGACATTCAAAAATACATTGTCCAAATCTCCCACAATAACTAACAAGGGAAACAATAACATAAACAACATGTTCCCCAACACTTGTTCAGTGAGTTGCATGAATCACTTTTGTTTGACTTTTAGGTGAACCTTTTCTCACAAGTGTCAAATTTGTAGTTATTCCTACAATAAACAGTATTTTATTTGACTTGTTAGACGCTTTTATCCAAAGGGACTTTCATACTCAATACAATCCCCATAGGAACAATTTGGGGTGAAGTGTCTTGTCCAGGGAAACAACGACATGCTGACTGCAGTAGGATTTGAACCTGTGACTCCCTGATCCCAACACCAAGGCTCTACCCACTGTGCCACATGCCTTTTACTATAGTCAATTTCACATTATGTTCTTGTATCTTATTCTATTTACATGTATGTAGACTCCTGCTTTTACTTAGTCAATTACAACATTCTCTGCATTATTTAGTTTATTGTATTTATTTATTGTTCTGACATGTATATATAGATTACTTGATCGGCATTACTTGCACATTGGTCTTGCAACACAACCTTATTCTACTTTTTACTACTGTTTCTTCTTGCACTATTTGTATCTGTTTTATTGTGTTATGTCCCAACTATGTTACAATGTTGGGGGAGCTTGGGACTTCAGACTTTCAATGCCATTTTCTACACTGTAGCTACTTTGCATATGAAAATAAAGCCTTTCAATTTTGAATCTTTGAATTTGAAATGCTTTTCCCCGGCAGAGGTGTAAAGTATATTTACTCAAGTACTGTAACATTTTTAGATACTTGTTCTTTACTTGAGTATTTCCATTATTTTCTAGTTTGTACTTCTCCACTACAATTCAGAAACAAATCGTATACTTTTACTCCACTGCATTTATTTTATACCTTTAGTTATTTTACAGACTTGGAATAATGATGTGAAATATAATCAACACTTAAATAAGACTTTAGTTACACCTGGAGTAAATTCACAATCTACCCTGCAGAACACAAAGTGATTAAAACTAGCTGCACCTTTTGACTAACACTTAGCATCAATAACTATTATTAAAATATATAATGTATATTATTCTGTAAGGGGCCAATCTGCACAATAAGTGCTTTTATTTTTGTACTTTTACTTGAGTAACCTTTGAATGCAGGACTTTAACTTGTAACAGAATATTCCTACACTCTTGTACTTGTACTTTTACTACGATGAGTACTCCTCCCACCTCTGTAAACCGGTGTGGGACCTTGTGTATATTTTTTTACTTTAAGATATCATGAAACTCCCCATTTTAAACATTTGTTCTCTGGTTCCTGATCAGTACTGGTCTTCTTGTGAATTGCTCTTGCATGGTTTTCGACTCTGTGAGAGTTGTGAGAAAGGTAGTGGACACTTTGGTTGGGATGAATCTGGGCCCTTTCTGTCAGATTCAGATGTTAATATTATAACTGAGATGTTGGTTAGTGGCAGTGAATCTGTGCAAATTTAACATGTGATTTTTACTGAGGCCATTGTAACCTTGCTGTGCTATTTCAACATTCATTATAATAAAGGAGATGAGCCGGCTCTAAATAGCTATCATTAACATGATTCATATTTGTTAAGCCATTGCAAATACAATGTTTTAAATAAAATAAAAAACACAGTACAATGGTGTAAGGACTTTACATAATGTGTGAACACTTTTTTAATGGAAAACTTTAATCAGAAACATAGACGTTTTTCATTTAATTGATAGCCGTCAAATGAATGTACCGCCTTGGAAAGTATTCTGTAAAATGAAAAGTAGAACTTTATGTTGCATGAAAGGAAAGCAATAAGATGCCATCTGAGAACAATTTCGTTTTTTATTTGAAATTGTTCAAGATCTTACTTGTGATTCAAATGCAATCTCTTATTACTGTTACCAAAGTTCAATATGAGGCAACTCCGGTGATCAAACTAATCAACGTTTTTAAATAATATAACTTAAGCTCAAGCCCATGTGGCTATCATTTAAACACCTACTGTTTGTAACAACTTACATCCACTTACTTATGTCAGTCATACCTATCAGCAACTGGATGACCCTCATTTGCTTATATCTTTAGCGTTTAGGGTGAATCTGGTATTTTTACAGGATGACCAAACAAAGCTTTATAGTTAGATACATACATTAGATCACACAGAATTAAGTGCATCATTACTATTCCTTATTACTGCCTTAAGCACCATGTAGATTATTATTTCCAACTTCAGCAAGTGTCACCTCAAAACCAAAATAGCAACCAAAAAACAATTGAATGCCACTGCAAAATACAAAACACAATGACATATCGCAATCATAAAAGTTATCTTTGCAAGTTAATGACAGTATTAAACATCTTAACATATGTTGCATTGATCAGTCCCAGAGGTAGCTGCCTGGTGAACATTCATCCAGATGAAAAAAGTACTGCATTTATGTGCCTTGCCACTTGAGTGGGTACATATGGAAATCTACTTGTTGGTGTAAACCATGTAATACCTTTTCAATTCAAAGTTACATCTTCTAGTCAGTGAATCCTTCTCATGTGGATCAATAATTCATCTTTACGTCTGAAATTGTTCCCACATTCTTTACAAGTATACGGTGTCTCACCTGTGTGGAATCTCATGTGCCTCTTAAAGTTACTGTTATCTCTGAATTTTTTCCCCCACGTTTTGCAATTAAATACATTTTCATCTGTGTGGACTCGCATGTGGCCTACATTCCACATGTTCGGGAAGAATATGGCTTTACATCTGTGTGGATGGTCATGTGTGTTCGCAGTATTGACATGTCTTTAAAATATTTCCGACAAGTTTCACATTTTCTTTTTTTTTACAGTGTAAGTATTACGTTGCATGTCTGACAAGTTAGCGTTGTTTACATTGTTCCTTTTGGTTTTGTGATGCATTTTGTCTATTACTGGATCGGCAGTTCTTGTTAACCCTGAGTCATTAGAATTGTGAGAGATGAGCTGCAGATTACTTTGTACTTCTGATACCACAACGCTTATAACTGGCATGTTGCCTACAGACTCTTTTGCACAAGTCTGTCCGCTGTGCACACTTTCCTCATCAGTAAGAGTCACCATGAAGACATCTGTCTCCTGCTTTAGTTGAAGCTGCTCTTCCTCCTGACGGGTGCAAAGTTCCTCCTGTTCCTCTTTAATCTGTGGAGGCTCTGGGTCCTCTTGGTCCAGACTGGAGTTCCTTTCCTGACTACAGAGCTGCTGGTCAGTGAGAACCTCCTCCTCATTACAGACATGTTGCTGAGGGAGCTCTGGAGGGACAGAAAATAAACAAAGTACTGATAGTGTGGTGTTAGGGAAGCAAATTGCATTCAATGCTGGGCAATGGTGTTAAGATCAATATCACAATATCAAGACAACAACAAACAAGACTACAGAAATGCATTATGCATAACAATTATAAATAGATTTGATCAAATACAAATAAAAAAAACATTAGGCCACCAACTTTTTAAAACTATAACATATTCTAATAATGTGTATTTTAACTGCTGTGCTTTGTGTATTTGTGATCTGTTGTTGGATATCTGAATGTGAATTAATAAACAGAAAATAGCTAACGAGAGGCTTTAACCATAATGAATCCCATTCAGATTGTTTTATCATTTGTAAGAACTTGATAGGAAACTAGAAAATTCAGAGAAATGTTGACTGTGACTGAAACTTGGGTGCGCATCCCGATGCTAACATCACCCCCGCTGAGTAAGTATTAATAGCATTAGTTGTATTGTTAAGGTACAACAAAGAATATCCATTAATTTTAGCTCACTTTTAGCTTGATATATTAAATGTTTATCTATTAACTTTTGGATTCTAGTACCACATTCCTGCATCGTTCCTGAACATCTTTAGATTACCACTGGGTTTAGTTGACGACCGACAGGTGTGTTCAAAGATCAAAGCGTTTCCACGGCAACGCCCTGCCAGTGAACGAGAGACAGCCTGTCAGAGAATGTATTGACAATATTGTGCTGCATTATTGCTTCTAAGTAAAAAACTGTAACTCCAATCAGCTAAATCTCCAACCCAGAGTATTTAGGATACCAGATGAACACCTGATGGCTCTTGTGTTTGCTATATGTACAAGTCCGTTTGATTAAATGAGCATATCGGTGTGGCTGGGACAAATATCCCTAAATTGTGATCACCAGAGTATGAAGAGTGAACATTTTGGCCAGCCGAGCAATAGTTGGAAAAAAAAACTCAGAATATGTTCCAGCACCTCTCCCCTCTAGCCGTGATGTCACCACTCTAAGTCTTAACGAGCTCTCCCATACACACCCATTATAAAATGTGAAACCGTGTGAAATGTCCTCAAAACGTAAGCTGCGACTACATAAGAACCGTACTAGCTATCAAAAATATCCAAATAGTCTAATAAAGTCCATAGCCTCGAGAACCGTTTAAACTTGTCATTTGTGTCCTATGTTAAAGTCTGCGGAATCTGTATGGGGTCAAAGGAGTGTTTTTGATCTCTGTTCAAATACATTTCCCATTCATTCCTATGGAGCAAATGATCGCAGTTCTCTGCGAATTTGCGTGAAAACGGCTAGGCGAATCTCTTAGAAAATACATAGTAACTCGATCTCGGTTATTCCAAAACATTTTGATGTGTTTTTTTGTGTGTTTAGTGTCAAGGCTGTCGGACGAGTAGCATGACAACATTTGTGGCGGAAGAAGGAGAATAAGATGAGATAAGTTCATTGCCAGTCACACAGAATAAGAAAGTATTTTATTGTTTGTTACACACCTGTTCTGTGCAGCTTTATCTGAGGTTTGTCTACAGACTCTTTTGCACAAGTCTGTCCGCTGTGCACACTTTCCTCATCAGTAAGAGTCACCATGAAGACATCAGTCTCCTGCTTTAGTTCAAGCTGCTCTTCCTCTTGACGGGTGCAAAGTTCCTCCTGTTCCTCTTTAATCTGTGGAGGCTCTGGGTCCTCTTGGTCCAGACTGGAGTTCCTTTCCTGACCACAGAGCTGCTGGTCAGTGAGAACCTCATCCTCATTACAGACATGTTGCTGAGGGAGCTCTGGAGGGACAGAAAATAAACAAAGTACTGTTAGTGTGGTGTTAGGGAAGCAAATTGCATTCAATGCATGGTTTGTGTATTTGTGATCTGTTGTTGGAGATCTGAATGTGAATTAATAAACGGAAAATAGCTAACGAGAGGCTTTAACCATAATGAATCCCATTCAGATTGTTTTATAATTTGTAAGAACTTGATAGGAAACTAGAAAATTCAGAGACATTTTGACTGTGTGACACATCCCGATGCTAACATTACCCCCGCTCAGGGGCGGACTGGCCATTGGGAATACCGGGAGTTTCCCCTGTGCTTTTCGTAAACCTGAAGTGAATACATTTTGGATTACTTATTGGAATTATTGGTGGAAAGATTTCCTCACAACATTTCATATTCATTACTAAAGGTACAGCCGAATCATCACAGCGCACAAAACCGCGCAGATGGACCAAAAAGGGGAGCGTTTGAAAAAAATGTGCGGGTTCGCTCAGTGAAACAATAACAACGTAACATGGAGGAACAAAAGTCTGCATTTAAATCGTGTGTGTGTGTGTGTAGAGGTGTGTGTGGTTAAAAAAACACATCAGCCACACCGCTCTTTAGCCTTTCTAATGATTCTGAAGGTAAACACAGTGAAGGCGGTGCGTGAAAGGCGGTGCGTGAAAGGCACTGCGCGCTCCTCTTCTCAGAGGCTGAGTTAACCCTCCCGCTGCTTCATGGTGCTGCAGAGATTTCATGAAGTGAAGGAGGTGTTCCTTCTATAAAACAGCTGCGGGCAGCAGATACTGTGAGAGTCACAGACATGAATACATTGATCAAGGCAGACTGGTGCACACACTCTCCTGTTTTGCCAATCCGGTGCTTAAACAAATATAGCTCTACACCCCTGGCCGAAATGTCCTTAAAATGAAGTCTGAGTTCGATATTTTAATTAATGTCCTGCCAACACTGGCAGGACAGAAGGCGACACGCCCTTTCTAAGCCATGTCCTCACATCCCAAGCTGCATCCCCAAAAAGTGTATTATGTTGTTACAACAGGGTTCAGGGGGAGTGGCTGTACGGCTGTACCCGTATGATAGAAAAGGGGGAAGTGACGTCTGACTCAGAGGTCGCGCGGCTGTGGAGAAGAACGTGTTGCCCACATTCTGTTACTGAGTTTAGGCTAGTTAGCTAGCAGGTTTATTGTTTTGGGTGCAGTCACTTTTGCCTCCACTTGCTGTTCAAATAAATGTTGAAAGAAAAAGTTAATCTGTTTACAGTTCCGTTTAATATGGGTGTAGAAGAAGAAGAAGAAGAAGAAGAAGAAGAAGAAGAAGAAGAAGAAGAAGAAGAAGAAGAAGAAGAAGAAGAAGAAGAAGAAGAAGAAGAAGAAGAAGAAGAAGAAGAAGAAGAAGAAGAAGAAGAAGCAGAAGAAGAAGAAGAAGAAGAAGAAGAAGAAGAAGAAGAAGATAAGAAGAAGAATAAGAAGAAGAAGAAGACAGAAGAAGAAGAAGAAGAAAGAAGAAGAAAACCCTCTTTAATGGTCACACATGCAGAGCACACACAGTGAAATGTGTTCTCTGCTTTTAACCCATCCTAGTACCAGGAGTCTAGTACTAGGAGCAGTGGGCAGCTATTGTACAGCGCCCGCAGAGCAATGGGAGTGAGGGGGGAAGGGGGATGTCTGGTGCCTTGCTCAAGGGCACCACGGCAGGGCAGGAGGTGAACTGGGACCTCTCCAAGTAGAAGTCCACACTCCAAATGTAGGTCTGGTCGGGGACTTGAACCGGCGACCCTACGGCTCACAGTCCAAGCCCCTACTGACTGCCATAGATTTAGTCCCTAATTTTGCCCTCAAAGTGCACCAGATTGATGCATTTAACTTCAACATTTAAAACAAAATCTTCCCGGGGGTGCTTGCCCCCGGACCCCCCTAGAAGAGGTGAGGTCCACCACCTGCCCACACCCCCTGTTAAATTGTCTCACCCACATTGAAGATGCTTCATTGGGTCAAAATGTTATTGCATCAATGATCTGTTAACATTAAAATCACTAAATATATGCCTTAACTATTTTGCTCTAGGCAACTGAAGGGCTCAGGTAATGTGATTACTATATGAATAATTGTCCAAAATAACATAAAATGCATAGGGTTTTTTGTTAAGTAACATACTTTCGTCGCCGGCCGGCCGATACATGCCGCGCATTAAGTGGGCCTTTCTGTCAATTAATCCCCGGGCCACTTTTTCCCCCCAGTCTGCCCCTGCCCCCGCTGAGTAAGTATTAATAGCATTAATTGTATTGTTAAGGTACAACAAAGAATATCCATTAATTTTAGCTGACTATTTTAGCTGTTTATCTCTTACATTTTTGGATTCTTGTGCCACATTCCTGCATCGTTTCTGAACATCTTTAGATTACCACTGGATTTAGTTAACGACCGACAGGTGTGTTCAAAGATCAAAGCGTTTCCACGGCAACATCTGTTCTGTGCAGCCTTATCTGAGGCTTCAAGACGGTATCTAATAATCTGCGCCGACGACAAATCTCATCCTCGTATGCTGATAAAGTTTGAGCAAAGACTTCAAATAGTTCATTGGCAGCTGCAGCTAGTCGCTCGTTGATAACACTTCTCAGTTTCTCAACTACAGCCATTTCTACTGTGTGGAATATTTGGATGTATGAAGAGACAAAATAAGCTAAACCAACTTTTGTTTTTATCGTTGGCATGAACTACACAACTTCCGGTGGAATGTTCTTCTTCGTTGGGGCCTAGGTATAAAAGTCACGGCTCGCCACTGGACAATACAGAGACAAAGTGGAGTCTGACTTCAAAGGCTGTAACACCCGGAACATGTGGGCGGGATTAAGAACAATGACAGATTACAAAGGAGCAGTGGGTGGTGCTGGAGGACTGTCTGCGTGTGCGGCTCTCCCAGATGACCAAAATGCTTTTAATGGTCGTTTTGAGATCAGAGAGGCAAGCCCTTTTGTTTTAAAAAGGGCAGATGTGTGCAAATCCTTTAAAAGGGTTAACCCACAAAAGGCCTGGACTTGATGCCATCCCTGGCCGTGTTCTCAGGGTGTGTGCAATTCAGCTGGCAGAGGTGTTCACAGACATCTTCAACAGGTCCCTGCTGGTCTCTCTTGCTGCTCTGCACTGAGGGTCTGGTGTTGCTTGGGAGCTGGTCTCTCTTGCTGCTCTGTACTGAGGGTCTCTTGCTGCTCTCTGCTAAGGGTCTATGGTTGCTCGGCTGTGGGAGTTTCAGATGCAGGTTGATGGGCAGTGGGGCTCTCTGTAATGCAGGTTTACTTACAGTTTTTGTTAAAATAAAAAAAGGTAGTCAAATATATGTATATGTAGATACTTAACACAATCTTTTGAAAAATAAAATACTCTTACCCTTTGCCAAGAGGAATTCATAAGCCCTCCGCATTTTGTCCAGTAAGGTTTTGGTGGCAGGAGTGGGGGGAAGATAGGTTATTATATCAGCAGCCCACATATTTGAAGCCCTTTTTGGCTTGCCATAAAATAGAATTGGCTTGTAGCCTAGAGCCTCAAGTTTCCGCACCTGAAATGAACAAAAGCAGTTGACACACATTTGTTTGACCCGTTACCTTAAACACATACTGTTTATTTTTGATTATTATACAAGCAACATGAAGGTATCTTGCATTGTGTAAGACTAATTGTTATTTGCATGCAAGGGCTAAGCTGCTAACAGCAGCTAACCTGCTGTTTCTGCCATTGCCTTCATTACAACAAAAATAATTATTTTACAAAGAACAATACGTTGCTCTTTTTTTGGACCAAAAACACTGTGTGGGGCTCTCACAAAATATTTACAACATTTAAACATCACAATCAGATAGATGGGTCAAAGAGGTAAATACGATCACTGTAAGATGTAACATCTGACAATAAGACTATATTTTCAAAGGCCTGATCATAATGTACAAATATTTTTAGTATGTTAAAAAAGGGAGTTTCACTTCAATTAACAGTAACTTATGAAATATCTGTACTTACTGCAATACAGGCAGAATCAATTATACGTCCAACATTTCTGTTTTTCACCACACCTTGGCCCCATTCACTATTCAGTGATGCCGCTTTTTCTTTCAGTTTGGTTTTGTTTGACAGGCTTCCGTAGCAGGCACTGCACGTTTTCCTGCTCCTCTGATTTGGAGTCTGGCAAGCTGGGCAGGGCCTGAACTTAGGTCGAGTCATGACAAACAAGTATAGAAAAACAAAAATACAGAAAGGGACTAACAACAGAAAGATGGACAGATAAGACACATACACAGGTACACTGACAGATACACAGACAGCAACAGAGATAGGACAATTTCACTACAGCAAGGACGGGGAAACGACAGGGACGTGGCTCTTAAAAGTGCCTTTGGATTTACGCTATTACAGCTTATAATGGTGTTTAGCTTTCATTGAGAACTCAGAAGAATCTGTTGAGAGAAGAAAAAACAATTAGGAATTGAACACCTTACATTTTACATTACAAAAAGACAGTTTTGAGCTATGGTAACATAGGTAACTGGAAATACAATATGAATGGCAAACATACAATTTCCTATGACTGTAACCTGTAAGATCATATCTGACAAATAAAGGTCACCTAATATTTACGGGGCTTGGCATTAGTGGGACACCTGTCATGGACATGAAGGAATATTTCTGAATTGTTATGATTTTTTTATTGTTGTGTCATTCATTTAATCAACTCCAACCCCATTAAAAACACATAACTGATACATAATAACTACGGTCATAAACAATCACAAATATTATTCATGCAATAAGAGTTGTCAGTTGTTTGCCACCTCTTAAATAAAGTTCAACTTCAAAGGCAACACCTTCTGTGCTCTAGCTAATAGCTAGTAGCAGCTAGCTAGCGTTCAGCACATTTGATGCAGTAAGTTGTACTTTTTTGAATGTCTTAAAATGATTTATAGGCGAAAAAGACGATTACCCTACACTTGCAAATGTTCCAACAATGACTTATTGGTCCGACATATGGCTGTTTGTGCTGAATATTGAATGATGAGGCCAGACGCGGCGCTGTGGGAGGGCCAGGCCCTGCATTTAACATTCCTGCCCTCCCACAATAAACACGTTTTATTTTATTTATACAATTTAAAAAAAGTATTATTTTTTTATTTTAAATAAACTGTGAACTTTAAGGCTACGATGTAGCCTATGTGATGTCAGATAGTAATATAAGAGTAATAAATTAAAAACAGGTATGAAATACTATATGACAGTAAAACAAGAATAGAGTTTAAAAGGGGAGTGATTTGTAAGATATCCATAAAGAAAAAGAAAATGTGTTTACAGTTCTGTTTCATATCGTGTTGAGAGATGTATCCATAGATCTCTTAATGTTGCTCTCAAAGTGCATCAGATTGATGCTTTTAACTTCAATATTAAAAATAATAATCTTCCCGGAGGAGCATGCCCCCGGACCCCCCTAGAGGAGCTTAGGTACACCCCCCACTTAAAGAAAATGGCACTTTACCCCTGCCTAGATGCCGTGAGCTGATTATCGAGCCTTCATTGTAACAGTCGCGGGTACACTGTGTATGTGCGTGTGGGGAGTGTTGCAGTAGAAAATTCCACTGTAGCGCCCGGTAGAATAATGGGAAACCCTACATCAGGGCTATTCAATTGGCGGCCCGTGGGCCAAATCCGGCCCCGGGGTGATATTTACTGGCCCTTTGAGTATAATGTTAAAAAGTAATCACATTTAAAAAAAAAAAAAGAAGATTTTTCTGCCTTTATTACAGAGAGGGTGTTTAATTGAGAGATAGAGGGGAAGACATTGCCTGAAAAATAGCAACTGTAGTGACAACTCCTGTCATTTATTGCATCTCTGCGTGAATGATTAGAAAATGTCACCTAAATTAAATGGTGTTGATGGTTAAATTAGCTTCACATGTAGACCTACTGAGTTCTGAACTTGCCATTTAGATCTATAAAGGCCTTGGGGCTATGTTGTTTGATTTAATGAAATACAATATATGCACTCCACTATGCTGTTGTAGTGTTTACCGTATCTGAAGCTCTTAATATGATTGCTCATATTTCAAGCCATCCTTTTATTTTTTATTACAACGTGACTTTTACGAATTATTTAACAACTATTTTTATTGGGTTGTTTTATTTGGGGTTAAGTACATTGTCAGAATAAGTGAGAAATGAATTTAACTTCTGTTAGACAATCATATGCCATACATTTTTGCATACATTCATAGTAAATATTTATTCAGTATGATAGCTGTCTAACAGAAGTTAAAGTTCATTTCTCACTTATTCTGACAATGTACTTAACCCCAAATAAAAGAACCCAATAAAGAGTTGTTAAATAATAGTGATGTCACGTTGTAATAACAATAACTCATCTCTCGTTTTATTTTTCAGCTTTGCCAAAAGCCACTGTGTCAAGTGTCCTACTTGGGTTGCCGTCCGGAGTTGTCCAATATGGCGGACCATCTCGCACATGCGCAGTACAGATCAGGCAGGGGGACAGATCGGGTAGTGACCATCCATGGTAGTGACACATTTTTCATCATTGTTCCACAATGTTTATCATCATGAAATTAATAACTATATATGTTATACTATACTTGCACTGCTTACCGTTTTCATACTTTATATATCTTAGCATATTCATACACACTGTTAATACTGCTCATAAGCTACTGTCTGTATAGTGTATTCATACCCCTCACTGTTTATTCATCATTCAATTAATTCTATATGTTATTCTGTAAATTGTGTAGGCCTACATTACTGCTTTGTGCACTCGTGGTTGGAAGCTAAACTGCATTTCGTTGTCCCAGTACCTGTAATCTGTGCAATAATAATAAAGTTGAATCTAATGTGGTCAAGACCACTGACGGAAGTAGTTTTGAAAAGTAATAAGTGGTTCTATCTTTTACATGTAGGATTCAACCCCCCATGTATTGATTTGTTTTCAAATGAACAGATAGGCCTACTTGAGTCATTCATTTGTAGTGATATAATAATTGTGGGATTCCTATTGCATCCACTTCATCTGCAACGAAGAACACCAGCGCAATTCCCGCCATTGCAAACCGAGTCAAGCTGACGCCGAGCTGTCCGACTTAAGGCGAGCTTTTTGAGACCTCCCCCGGCTGCAAATCGGCTATTCTCGTCTACTTTCGAGGCGAGACGCAGCTCGTCTCAAACAAGCCTATTTTCTTGATTTCAGTCACATGTTCACCGTGTTACTTACCTAGTGGAAATCGCTTTAACATCGTCGCATAGATGACGTCACACGTGCGCGCCCAAAACTTTATTTACAGACGCTATGATTACATTAATTTCTATAAAAGCTGCCCAAAAAAAGTTTCAGGAACACTGAACCATACGCTTCAGCTGAAAACGGAATCCGCTCGTTGAATTTTGATGCAGCGGGGAGCGTTCTCATCGCGTCTATTATCAACGCTATGGAAGGTCTATGAAGGTCTATGGGACACCCTGCCCGTTGAAAACTGACGCTCGAGGGGTACCCGGCCGAACCAACTTGTGTTTTTCTCGTTGGTATGAACCGTATGAACCACATGGATGTGGTATGAACTACACAACTTCCGGTGGAATGTTCTTCTTCGTTGGTTTAGGGAGGCGGTCTGCACTGATAGTTACATTACCGCCACCTACTGGATTGACGTTAAAAAACACATTGTCCCAATATCCCCCAATAACTAATAAGGGAAACAAACAATAACATAAAATAACATGTTCCCCAACTCTTGTTCAGTGAGTTGCATGAATCACTTTTGTTCGACATCTGGGTGAACCTTTTCTCACAAGTATACATAACATTTGAAACGATTTTCACGGCCAGAGGTAGGAAGGTACTAAGTACATTTACTCAAAGTACTGTACTTGAATACAATTTTTAAATACTTGTACTTTACTTGAGTATTTTCATTTTATGCTATTTTGTACTTCTACTCCACTACAATTCAGAGGTAAATTGTCGACTGTTACTTCACTTATGTTGTACCTTAAATTACTTTGCAGATTTGGATAATATGATATAATCAACACTTAAATAAGACTTTAGTTAAACCTGGAGTAAAATCACAATCTATCCTGCAGTATATAAAGTTAGACAAACTAGCTGCACCGTTACATGCCTTGATAAACACTTTGTGATCAGTACTGGCATTCACGTGAATTGCTCTTGCATGGCTGGTGGACACTTTGGTTGGGATGAACCTGGGTCCTTTCTGTCAGATTCAGATTGTAATATTATAACTGAGATGTTGGTTAGTGTCAGTGGATCTATGCACATTTAACATGTGAATTTTACTGAGGCCCATGGTAACTTTAATGTTCTATTTAACCATTCAATATAATAAAGGAAATTAACCGGCTCTATCAAAGTTGAATATGAGGCAACTCCGGTGACCAAACTAATCAACGTATTTAAATAATATAATAACTTAAGCTCAAGCCCATGTGGCCAGCATTTAAACACCTACTGTTTGTAACAACTTACTTCCACTTACTTATTATGTCCAGCAGACTGGATGACCCTCATTTGCTTATATCTTTAGCGTTTAGGGTGAATCTGGTATTTTTACAGGATGACCAAACAAAGCTTTATAGTTAGATACATACATTAGATCACACAGCATTAAGTGCATCATTACTATTCATTATTACTGCCTTAAGCACCATGTAGATTATTATTTCCAAAATAGCAACCAAAAAAAACAATTGAATGCCACTGCAAAATACAAAACACAATGACATATTGCAATCATAAAAGTTATCTTTGCAAGTTAATGACAGTATTAAACATGTTAACATATGTTGCATTGATCAGTCCCAGAGGTAGCTGCCTGGTGAACATTCATCCAGATGACAAAAGTGCTGCATTTATGTGCCTTGTCACTTGTGTGGTTACATATGGAAATCTACTTGTTGTTGGTGTAAACCATGTAATACCTTTTCAATTCAAAGTTACATTTTCTAGTCAGTGAATCCTTCTCATGTGGATCAATAATTCATCGTTACGTCTGAAATTGATGCCACATGATCTACAAGTAAACGGTTTCTCACCTGTGTGGACTTTCATATGCCTTTTTAATGATGACATGTCAGTGAAGCTTTTCCCGCAGGTCATGCAAACATACGGTTTCTCACCTGTGTGGATTCTCATGTGCCTCTTAAAGTTACAGTTATATCTGAATTTGTGTTCACATGTTTTGCAAGTAAATTTCTTTTCACCTGTGTGGACTTGCATGTGGTCCATCAAGTGTTTTTTCTCTCGGAAATCTTTTCCACATGTTTGGCAAGAATATGGCTTCTCATCCGTGTGGGTGGTCATGTGTCTTCGCAATTTTGACATGTACTTAAAATCTTTCCCACAAATTTCACATTTGAAATTCTTCACTGAGCAAGTATTATGTTGCATGTCTGACAAGTTAGCGTTGTTTACATTGTTCCTTTTGGTTTTGTGATGCATTTGGTCTATTACTGGATCCGCAGTTCTTGTTAACCCTGCGTCATTAGAATTGTGAGAGATGAGCTGCAGATTACTTTGTGCTTCTGATACCACAATGCTTAAAACTGGCATGTTGCCTACAGACTCTTTTGCACAAGTCTGACCGCTGTGCACACTTTCCTCATCAGTAAGAGTCAACATGAAGACATGAGTCTCCTGCTTTAGTTCAAGCTGCTCCTCCTCCTCCTGACGGGTGCAAAGTTCCTCTTTAATCTGTGGAGGCTCTGGGTCCTCTTGGTCCAGACTGGAGTTCCTTTCCTGACTACAGAGCTGCTGGTCAGTAAGAACCTCCTCCTCATTACAGACATGTTGCTGAGGGAGCTCTGGAGGGACAGAAATAAACAAAGTACTGTTAGTGTGGTGTTAGGGAAGCAAATTGCATTCAATGCTGGGCAATGGTGTTAAGATCAATATCACAATATCAAGACAACAAACAAGACTACAGAAATGCGTTATGCATAATATTTATAAATAGATTTGATAAAATAAAACATTAGGCCACCAACTTTTTAAACTATAACATTATTCTAACAATGTGTATTTTAACTGCTTTGTGTATTTGTGATCTGTTGTTGGATATCTGAATGTGAATTAATAAACAGAAAATAGCTAACGAGAGGCTTTAACCATAATGAATCCCATTCAGATTGTTTTATCATTTGTAAGAACTTGATAGGAAACTAGAAAATTCAGAGAAATGTTGACTGTGACTGAAACTTGGGTGCGCATCCCGATGCTAACATCACCCCCGCTGAGTAAGTATTAATAGCATTAGTTGTATTGTTAAGGTACAACAAAGAATATCCATTAATTTTAGCTCACTTTTAGCTTGATATATTAAATGTTTATCTATTAACTTTTTGGATTCTAGTACCACATTCCTGCATCGTTCCTGAACATCTTTAAATTACCACTGGATTTAGTTAACGACGACAGGTGTGTTCAAAGATCAAAACGTTTCCACGGCAACGCCTTGCCAGTGAAGGAGAGACAGCCTCTCAGAGAATGTATTCACAATATTGTGTTGCATTATTGCTTCAAAGTAAAAAAACTCCAATCAGCTAAATCTCCAACCCAGAGTATTTAGGATACCAGATGAACACCTGATGGCTCTCGTGTTTGCTATATGTACAAGTCCGTTTGATTAAATGAGCATATCGGTGCGGCCGGGACAAATATCCCTACATTGTGATCACCAAAGTATGAAGAGTGAAAATTGTGGCCAGCCGAGCAATAGTTGGAAAATAAACTCTGAATATTTTCCAGCACCTCTCCACTTTAGTCGTGATGTCACCACTCTAAGTCTTAACGAGCTCTCCCATACACACCCATTATAAAATGTGATAGTGTGAAATGTCCACAAAACGTAAACTACGTGAGAACCATACTAGCTATCAAAAATATCCAAATAGTCTAATAAAGTCCATAGTCTCGAAAACCGTTTAAACTTGGAATTTTTGTTCTAAGTTAAAGTATGCGGAATCTGTATGGGGTCAAAGGAGTGTTTTTGATCTCTGTTCAAATGGATTTCCCATTCATTCCTATGGAGCAAATTATCGCAGTTTTCTGCAAATTTGCATGAAAACGGCTAGGCGAATCTCTTATAAAAGACATAGCAACCCAATCCCGGTCATTCCGCACGTTTTTATGTGTTTTTTGTGTGTTTCGTGTCAACGCTGCCAGACGAGTAGCATGACATTTGTGGTGGAAGATGCAGAATAAGATGACTAGAAAATGCATTTCCTGCTGAAAATGCGTGCACATGCTGTAAGCCCTGTACATTTGTTGCTGAAATTAGCTGAAAAGGCAGAAAAAGCTGAATATTGTAATAGTTGAATGGTGTCTGTAGAGCTTTTAGCAGCAGAAACCAAGTAAGGTTGTTGCTGAACCTAGAGGGGAAAATGTAGAAAAGTTATATGATTTGAATAAACATTCTTACAGCTCAAACTGCCCTGACTGTTGGAAAACTCTAATGTGAAATGTAAAACTGGCAGAGTAGGACAAATAGTGAAGAAGCTTAATATTTAAAAAGGTTTAAAAAATGGTATAAACAACAAAAAGTATAGCCTCAATGTCCTGAAATAGCTGAATAATGTAATAGTTGAATGGTTTCTGCAGCTGAAAGTAGGCTGAAGGAGTTAGATATCAGATGTACACTGTAACACATTTTCCTGTCAAATAACAGTAAAGTGCTGGCAGACGCCAGCACTTTACTGTAATACTACAGTACTCATACTGTGAAATGACTTCACAGCCTCTCACTGTAAAAATAAAATACAGTATACTGCTGTATCTTTTCAATTAACAGTAAAATACTGGCAGCAGAGACGCCAGCAATAAACTGAAATTCTACAGTATTCATACTGTTGAACAATTTCAGTTTATTACTGTAAAACATTGAATGATTCACAGTAACATTCTGGTTAGGGGGTTGCCAGTAGATTACTTGATTGATAATACAACAACTCAATTTAGCAGGTTAGAATATCTAAAAATCCATTATTAATTAAATTAACATAAAATATGTATTGTTCTGTGGGCTACAGACATCCGCTTAAAATATGCATTATTATGAAAATAATGCAAAATAAGAAAACAATTTGGAAAGGATTTAATGCAAACACACATTTATTTAAAAAGGCAGTGGCAATATAAATTCTGCTCCTGTAAAAAAAAGAAAAGAAGCTCTTGGAAGACCCAGAGAAACAAGTAGGGATGTAACGAGAACCAATACTTTGAGACTAGCGGTGTGCCGTCTCGTAGAAAATGTGTTGGAAATGCAGTAAACTCACTATTGACACGCACCCTATTTTTTCCCCCAGTGTTGAAATAGGCAGGACGAGAGCTAATGTTAGCTGTTAGGAGTTAGCAGCCGGTAAGCAGCACAGTCCTGCAGAGCTAACAGCCAACGTTAACCATTGAGTTACATTATGATGTGTTCAATAAAAATGAGTATTGGGCGAAGGTAAATTCTAACGTCATCATGTGTTCAAATGTAATCATGTAAAATATACTTTTTGGGGAGAAACTTGAATAAATGTTTGAATGAGATGTTTTCACAGCAATATAACATAGATAATAGAGAGGGAATTATGACCTGTTTAACTTCCTGACAAAAACCAGTATGCAAACGGTAATAAAGGAGTGTATGTTGAAGTACATGGTTATCTATGGTTTTGTTTTTGTTTTTTACAGTGGTATCTAAATTTGGTATCGAGAATCGTGGAAATTCACTATTGGTATCGACTACTACATTTCTGGTATCGTGACAACCATAGAAACAAGCTAAAGACATGTAGACTAGCTAAATTAAATTGCCTAAAAGTGAAACAATGGCAATAAACTGAAATTGTTACATTGCATGTCAGATACTGCACCTTACCAAACGTGAAAACACCTGAGACATCAGTTGTAACTCCTTCCAAATTATTGTTATATGTGACTTGTCTTACCAAACTTGAACTTGACCTCGGCTCAAACAATTTGGCTGAATACCAAGGCAACTAATACAGAGGACAAGTGTTTAACCTATAAATAATCCTGTGAGGTTTATGTTCTCTCAAAAAGCAGTTTAAAATATCTAAATTTACTGCAATATTGTATTCTCTGCTGTCTGTGAAAATATACATCAGTAAGAACATTTTTGAACAAATGCATTATAAGCAACATTTTAGAAAATATGCATCATTAAGACCATTTAGAAAATATGCACCAGTAGCAAAATGTGGGGCTTGTGTTTTGCCTCTTGAAATAGTCCTGTGAGGTAGGTGCATGCTTAACTTCAGGAAGATTATGGGTGGGTGTGGACAGTCTTGATACAAAGAGGAATCTTCTGGTTCAGGTAAAGATGACCATCACCTTGCTGGTCCTTGTTCCTCTCCTTACCAGTGTTGCCACTGTAAAACAGCAACAAACGAAATAATTAATCAAAAATAACTCTAGAATCGGGAATGTACAATAGCAATGCTTATAAAGCTGGTAATACCAAAGTGTCTTGTGGCATAATGTGGCAACGTCAGTCCGATTCAAAGTCAAGGAGGTTCTTCAGTAGTGTGGAGACGTGTGTGTTGACTGTGGCAGACTTCTTCTGGACGATCACACCTGTCTTCTTGCAGACAACCTTGCCCCGGATGGCCTTTGTTCCTCTCTCTGGGTTGATACCAATGAAGCGCCTGAAATCAGAACATTTTTAAGATCAGAGACTGAATGGAAAACTATTAGGAACACTTTGTTGTCTTAAATGGGTAGTTTGGGTTTTATTCCATAAGGTGATATGAGTTACTAACCGGTACTGACATGAGGTATTTAGTGCAATTCCGCTGCTTGATTTTTGATCAGACCCTACTATATCTTGGAACTATTTCATTTGTTGAAAATTGCCAGTGTATTACTACGCACTGGAGCCAGTTCACATATTATGCCTCTATTCAAGCTTATTGGCGGCTTGATATGGGAATCGGCTCCACTGAATAGTAATACACATAATTAACAAAGAAAATATTTTCAAGATATAGAGAGTTCGGATAAGAGTATCAAGCAGCAGAATTACTCAATATATGTTGTATTCTCATGTGAATGGTTCATGTTTTTTTTGTGTTGAGGTTTGACATTTCGTTGTTAGCTGACCCCATGTTCTGCTATTCATTTTTGCCTGACAATTGACCAGCTGGCAGGGAAATTTCTCACTGCCTGCCTGAGTTAATGTCTGTGTCAATACCGATAAGTAACTAATACCATTTTATGGTAAAAAATATCCAAACTATCCCTTTAAGTGTGCAAAGTAATGATTTGTGGTTATTCAGGTTTCAAAGATTTTAATTGTAAATAAAAAAACATAATGATTACAGGGAAATGAAAGGAGTCCTACCTCTGAATGAATTCCAGAGTACAGGCTGCCTCTTCCTGATACTGAAGGTTGAATATATAGTAGATTGCAAAGACAGCAGCAAGTCCCGTCAAAAAGGTTGGTGTGATGCCCTCAGATATGACACGGCCCTCAAGGGTGATCATCCATCGTCCAGTAGTGACTTGCCCGGTTCCATCTGAAACTTAAAGTAATAGTAACATCAGAATGCATCTCACCTTGCGTAAACATCTGTAAACTGAAAGATGGCCAATCTGATATATAATAATTATGTCTATCAATGAAGTGCATACCAAGCAGTATCAGACGAGGACTTGCAGGTAGAGTGAGGGTTGTCTCAACGTCAGCTGCGGTGGCAGACACCTGTAGAGAACAGACAAAGACGGGAGATATAATATGGTTTTTAAGGAGGAAAATAAACAAACGTCAATAATCTGAAAACACTGGGTGACAGTAACCTAGAGGTAGGGCTGCTAAATTAAATCGTTTTTTAAATCGCAGTTACGATTATGGCTTGCAACGATTACGAAAACAATGTAATGGAAATAAAATGATTATTTTATTATTATTATTATTATAATTATACTTAAAGGTGGGGTAGGTAATTTTGGAGAAACCAGCTTGAGATCGCTAGAATTTGAAAATACACAGCCGGAAAAAATCTGCTACTTCCTCACAGAGCCCCTCCTTCAACACACACGAACGCGCACATGACCAATGAGGGCACGAGATAAATGTGTGCACAGGTGGATGGCTGACAGGCAGGTAGGCCATCCAGTTATTTTAGCCGGGCCGGCTAAAATGATTGGTCGTGCTTTTTACAGTACTACGGCTTCCACAGATGACGTTTTTTTATAGATTTTTTTGTCAAAGCACTTAAGATATTCATTGCTATCGGGATGTTAAGAGCATTCCATGGAATATAACAAAAAGTGTATCTCGAGCCGGTTTCTCAAACTTACCTACCCCACCTTTAAAGTTCAGGGTAATCAACTGTTAAAAACATACTGCTCACATTTTTTTTCTCCAATAAATTGATGTTTTAAGTAAATGGATAATCGTTTTTAATAATCGTGATATCAATTATTGACCCAAATAATCGAGATTATGATTTTTGCCATAATCGAGCAGCCCTACCTAGAGGTTAAATAAGTGGGCTTCTGAAGTATCCTCAGTCAACCTGCTGTGAATAGATATATATGGCAATCAAAATGTAAAACACAGGGCAAGAAAGACAATATAAACTTACATTTGTAAGAAGGACAAGCCCTGTTAGGTCCTCTCCAAAGTGTGCCATGAGCAGCTGAACAACACAAAGTGCCATTTCATTATCTTCACAATTAGAGAGGACATCCTTGACATCTCTGTTGGTAGGTTTTCCCCTGAAGTATTCTGTGATGTCTCTCCCACATTCCACCATGCTGAGTTCCAAGCTACGAAGCACATTGATGTCTGTGAGTAACTCAAAATGTGCATATATGCACATTTGAGTGAAAAGAAAAGGCCATTTGCTTCTCATATTTTCAATGTCAGGTGGTGGAAGTTCATTTATATGACGACGTTGTAGGCAGAATGTGAGCTCCATTCGATTTTTGACCTCTGCTCTTTCAACTCCACCTGCACCCTCCTGCCTGTAAATCTCCACCAGTCTTTGGCGGTTCTGCTCCACAGTCTCATTAGTTTCTTCTGGAGGGAGCTCTGGCTGAAATCTTGTACATCCATAAGTGTCGGTTGGCCCCCTCTTGTATGTAGAACTGGATCTAGAAGCTCGGTGGTGTGCATAGTTTCCGCCACGGTTCACATTTTCAATGCGGTTTTTCACTTGAATCAGAAGTGATGTATAACCGCAACCCAAAAGTGACCAGTCTGCGGTCATATCAGCAAAGCTCTTTGGGTACTGCCTGATGATATTTCGAATCACAGTGAGACACTGGGAGCGAGTGGGGTTAGCCTCATACCTCCTCATTTCATCTACGAGTATTCGTACCATCTGGCGTCGCTCTGTTGGTTTAGGTCTCTTGCCGCTTAGAATTGCAGAACGTATTTCTTGTGGCATTTGTTCCCAAGGGACCTGGAATGTTTCTGGCCATGTTTTCAGTACTTGAGATGTGGAAGGTCTGTTGCTTGAATCTCTGTTTCCTGTCTGGCTTGAAAATAATGCAATGGCCAACAGCTGTGAAGGGCTAGAATTAGGAGTGCCTGATGATGTCGATCGAGACTCAGAGACTGACAAAGCACTACTCAGTGGTGAAGAGGTTGGAATAACTTGCAGATCCAATGTAACTATCTCCGTCTCTACAAAAACAAAATCAACAAAGAAAGATTTAGGGTACATCGCTAATAAGTTATAACAGTGTCACTGCAGACATTTAGCAAAATGTGGATTGGCCTTGTTTCTTTCAAATTACCTAAAGAAAAAAAAAACTTAGTCTATGTTTAAAAAACACTTAGTTATCTTATATTAGGGATGTCTGAAAAGCTTAACATGTTTTGCACCTGTACTTTTTACTAACATTCTTACAAAAATGTGTATTGGTATTGGCCGATATGGGTGGGAACATTTGGGGTCTCGAATGTTAAAAAGGGTGTCCAGTCCCCATGAATCAGTTTTTCGTACTTTTTGAATTGGCAACATGATTACAACATGATTGACGTTATGGCACTTCCAGATGACATAAATCTGCTTTGCTACTGTGATTGATCAAAACGTTTTCAGTTTGGCATAGAACTTACATCAGTGAATCATTTGAGGACCAGTTTGTGTCCAGACCCCTATACATTACCTAAGTGCTAAAGACAGAGAGTGAGAGCATTTTTGTAGTTTTTTTATCTATAATAAGTAACAACAATAAGCAACAACAATATGATAAAATATGAAGAAAAAACTTTTTATGAAAAATGCACAAAATAAACTCAGTATGGTTACTGTTACTTAATGTGGCTCCTGGTATCAGAATGTTTCAGGGTAAATTATATACCAGTTCTCTATATGTGTACCATATTTTAGTACTGATTTGCCTGATACCAGATACTTGCAGTATTGGTGCATCCCTACTTAAATGCCACACTAAATTAAATCCAGGAGTTTTTGGCACTGAATTACAGGTAACAGATCAGCAATGTCTTCCTGCTGTACATATTTCAAATCGTTTTTTGACTCCAAGCCAGAGCTCTGAAGTTTAGAAAGTATTTGCCAATGGGTCTCTTAAGGGAGATTTGGCAAAGTCTTGCCGATTATCTCCTTGATTTCTTCATTCAAGTTAGCCATTATTCTGGAATAAGGGATAGAATGGTAAAGAATTATCATTGATGTGCCATGGACAGTGTACTCAGGCAAGGGGTAGTAATCCTCCTGATTAACACAACAGTAGCTTATCTGCATCAGTGTAAGGCGATAGACACCACTGTCAGGAATATGCATGGCATGATACTGTTAAGCAATACAATATACTGCTGAATCCTTATGAACAAGAACCACTTAGATTTTTCTGATTACAACTCCCTCATCATAATTTTTTCATTTTCATTTAATCGTTTATTTGAACCGGGACAGTGCACATTGATGAACACTTTAAAACAAAAATAATGCTTACAAGTGTAAATGAGCTGTATTTTAGCTTTGAGCTAATTTCCATCCGTAGTCCCGTCACATACAACATATAAGAACATGACATTTATATACATAGCAAAGATAAATACATGATATGCAGGAAGAGCATGAGCAGCATACAAGCATTTACCACATGGCAGTACAATGTAGCAGCTATGATATATATAGTGCAAGATAAGATAAAAGTGCTACATAAAGTGCAAGAGGAGATACCCCTGTATAAAAGTGCATTTAGCGGTGATTACACGTCTGTTTGTTGCTCAACCATTCTTTAAGTTGTCCTTTAAAACCATTGAGAGTGGGACAATCCCGTATCTCAGTTGGGAGGCTATTCCACAATGAGCTGCCTTTAATGGAGAGGACATTTTGTCCAAAAGTGGTCCGTCTATGGTGGACTTCACAGTCTCCTCTGGTTTCTGACCTAGTGCAGCGTCCAGTGTATTTTTTGTGGATGAATTCCCTTAAGGGAGGGGGGGGCCAGTCCATGTAAACATTTATTAAAAAAAACACATACTTTAAATTGTCAAAACTCAAGAAATTGTGTTTTTCAAGGATGGTACAGTGGTGGTATGAGTTTGGCTTTCTGTCAAACACCTGGATAGCTCTCTTGTACAGCTGTTCTATTGGTTTAAGGTTTGTGGCACAAGCAAACGACCAGTTTGTCAAACAGTATTCAATGTGGGATAGAATCATACAGTGGAGGTATGACTTTGCAGCATTGACAGTTAAGAAATGTCTAATTTGTTTAAAATGTTGCAAGTTGAATTTAATGGTATTGGATACTTTCTTAATATGTTTCTTAAAAATCAAGTTCGAGTCCATTCTAGTCCAGTTCTATTTCTGCTCCGTTTAAAAACACATTGGATCCTTCGATTTTGACTGGTCGTTTACTGAACATCATGCATACTGTTTGTTTTGCATTTAACTGTAAGCAAATGTTGTTCAGCCAGTGTTGAACCTTGTCCAAAGCATTTGAGAGACAGGATGAGATAATTTCAGTGTTTTTCCCATGTACAAAGATGACCGCATCATAGGCATACATTTGCACATTCAACTCAGGACATACATTAGGCAAGTCATTAATGTACAGTGAAAAAAGTAACGGTCCAAGAATGGAACCTTGTGGAACCCCAACAGGGTTGACAAGGTAGGGGGATTTGACTCCGTTGACCAAAACACACTGTTTTCTGTTCGATAAGTAAGACTTAACCCACTGTATTGAATCTGCCGAAAAATTGAAATACGTCTGCTTTGTAAGGAGCACTTGGTGGTCAACAGTGTCAAAAAAGCTTTCCTGAGATCAAGGAAGACAGCACCTACATATGGGCTTGTGTCCTATAATGGGCTATGTGTTCTATAAATAAATTAAAATAAAAAAATAAAAAAGCTGTCTCAGTGGAGTGGTGAGCACGAAAACCAAACTGCATTGGGTGGAGTGGAGCGAAGCCTTTGTCTAAATGTTTGGTGATTAGTTTTGACACCAATTTCTCAGCTACCTTAGAGACACAGGGGAGGATGCTGATTGGTCTGTAACTGGACATTATTGCCTTATTCCAGGATGATGGAACTTCCCTCGTGCTGACAGATTGATTTACTAGCATAGTAATTGGTTGTATTAGACCAGGGGTGCACAACCTTTTTTGAACCGAGAGCTACTTTTAAAGTTGCCAGTCTGCCGAGATCTACCAGTCCAAATAGAGAGGCGTAGCCATTACTGATAGCCTCCTACCAGGTAAATACACATTTCTACTTGTATACAACTGACCTTTGTACGATTAATACCTCATAAAATCCTGCAGATCCTTTATCTTACCTCTTTCTAATCTACACACATACAAGTATTTAACTGAAGTTACACAACAGTGTTGTTGATACAGAGTTGGAGTTTATTCACACGTCACTACAGTGGGTAATGTTTAAGAAACATTGAACAGTGCTGCCACATATGACACAGGAAAAAAAGGAAAGACTCTGAACCCTTTCTTTGCCATTATATACAAATAGTGTTGCTACAAAAGTATAAATTAGGCTTAGACAACTCAGATCTGAAGCTACACAGGAATCTGCTGCCAAAGTGCAATAAAAAAAGACAATTAATAGAATCAAACCCTTTTTTTGTTGCATTTTAGTAGAGTATAAAAAGAAATGCCTTTAAAATAGGATGCAAGCAACACTAAAGTATTTTATTACTTATAAATACCTCTCTTAATTCAGGATGTGTCCCAGCTGCCTTCAAACCCAAAACTCTATATGACAGTAACAAAAAAGTTGTTAAAAATAACAAGAATAGAGTTTGAAAGGGGAGTGATTTGTAAAATATCCAAAAAGAAAAATATGCTTACAGTTCTGTTTTATATGGGTGTTGAGAGATGTATCCATAGATCTCTTAATGTTGCTCTCAAAGTGTACCAGATTGATGCTTTTAACTTCAATATTTAAAAAAAAAATCTTCCCGGGGGAGCATGCCCCCGGACCCCCCTAGAGGAGGTCTAGGTCCCCCCCACTTAAAGGAGACCTATCATGCTATATTTAAATGATATAGTGTATGACCATACCTATATAAGGTATATTTATACATTTTATTTTTCAAAATACCAAACGGATCATTTTTTAGCCATGCCTCGTTTCGCTCATTTTCGCTCTATTCCAAGCCTGTCTTTGAAAATTCTGAGCAGCAGCTGACCACGCCCCCCTGCAGAAGAGCGGGGCATGCGCCGGCGAGAGTCATGTTACCATGCTTGCTGTGATTACGTGTGGAATAAACATGTCATCTCAGAGCAATTCATGTGTTCAAGCATATTATGAATTTGATCCAGAGACTGACCCTGAAGCAGCGGAGGTTTTGGTGGAGGTGGAAACATCTCGGTTGCAGCAGGACGTTTCTGAATGGTTAGTTGACAAGCTGTTGTCCCTATTTATTTTACTCTGTTACGATGCTTGCTACTTATTCCGTTCATATGTTGGCTAATTAGCAAGAATGCAATGTGTACAGTTTGTAACTTATAGTTTGTAACGCAAAAACAGCAATACATATTTATAAAGGGAGACATTCATATTTTCAGCATATATACAATGGCCTCATTGCGTTTATTAATAGTTTACAGTCCTTTTCTTCCAACATCGTGCAACAACCGTTGGAAAGTTCAATAACTTAGGGTGATAAAAAGTATAACTCCAACAACACCTCAGTTGTCAGCAATGTGTGTAGTTTCATGTGTTTTTAAAAGCTCAGTTATTGACTTCTTTCTACAGGTGTACATGTGCAAATTGCGCCACGATGCCTTCTGAACCGGAGAATGTGTGCTGCATAGAGATACCACAGGTAACATTTTTGATAGCTTCACTAAGTTGTCTGTTTAGAGAATACATTTTTAACATGTCATTCAATATATCTTTATCACACTAAGTGTCAAGACGGATGCAGGAACTTGAAGACTCTGTTAACTGTATGGTGGACCATCCTGGATTGGAGCCTGTGTGCCTGAATGTGTTCTCCCTGCAGAATGCATTGAATATTTACAGAGCTGAACATGGTGGACTACAGTTGAGGCAAATAGAGCAGTGAGTGGTTTGTTTGTTTTGACTGAAATTGTAAAACGAATGCTAATATTGTTCATGGAAATAAATACTGGTGTATATGGCTTTATGCAATCTTTCATTGTACATGTACTATTATATATATATA